GCTGCTACAAATATGGTTGAGCAAATGTCCTTTTGTGTACTTGAACCTCTTTTGGGTATATGCCTAGGAGTGGTATGGCTGGATCTTGAGAAGCACTATTCCTAGTTGTCTGAGAAAGAGCCAGATTGATTTCCAGAGTGGTTGTACAAGTTTACATTCCCACCAGCAGTGGAGGAGGGTTCCCCTTTCTCCACAACCTCTCCAGCATGTGTTGTCCCTTGAGTTTTTTATCTTGGCCATTCTGATGGGTAAGGTGAAATCTCAGGGTTGTTTTGATTTGCATTTCCCTAATGGCTAATGAGGTTGAGCATTTCTTTAAGTGCTTCTCTGCCATTCGATATTCTACAGAGAATTCTCTCTTTAGCTCTGTTCCCCATTTTTTAAGTGGATTACTTGGTTTGCTGCTTTTCAGCTTCTTTAGTTCTTTATATATACTGGATATGAGTCCTCTGTCAGATAAAGGGTTGGTGATGATTCTTTCCCAATCTGTAGGCAGTCGCTTTGTTTTGATGACAGTATCCTTTGCTTTACAGAAGCTTTTCAATTTCATGAGGTCCCATTTGTTGATTGTTGCTCTTAGAGCCTGTGCTGTTGGTGTTCTGTTCAGGAAGTTTTCTCTTGTACCAATGAGTTCTAGGGTATTCCCCACTTTTTTTTCTAGCTGATTTAATGTGTCTGGTTTTATGTTGAGGTCTTTGATCCACTTGGACTTCAGTTTTGTGCAGGGTGATAAGTACGGATCTATTTTCATTTTTCTACATGGGACATCCAGTTGGACGAACACATTTGTTGAAGATGTTATCTTTTTTCCATTGTATGGTTTTGGCATCTTTGTCAAAAATCAGGTGTCCATAAGTGTGTGGGTTTATTTCTGGGTCTTCTGTTCGATTCCATTGATCCACCATTCTGTTTCTATGCCAGTACCATGCAGGTTTTATAACTGTTGATCTATAGTACAGCTTGAGATCAGGGATGGAGATACCTCCAGAAGATCTTTTATTGTAGAGGATTGTTTTAGCAATTCTCGGTTTCTTGTTATTCCATATGAAGTTGAGAATTTTTCTTTCCAGGTCTGTAAAGAATTGTGTTGGCAATTTGACGGGAATTGCATTAAATCTGTAGATTGCTTTTGGCAAGATGGCCATTTTTACTATGTTAATCCTGCCAAGCCATGAGCATGGGAGATCTTTCCATCTTCTCATATCTTCCTCTAATTCTTTCTTCAGAGACTTGAAGTTTTTTTCATACAAATCTTTGGCTTGCTTGGTTAGGGTTACACCAAGGTACTTTATGTTATTTGTGGCTATTGTGAATGGTGTTGTTTCTCTAATTTCTTTCTCAGCCCTTTTGTCTTTTGTATACAGGACGGCTACTGATTTTTTTTTGAGTTAATTTTGTATCTGGCCACTTTGCTGAAGGTGTTTATCAGCTGTAGGAGTTCCCTGGTGGAGTTTTTGGGGTCACTCACGTATACTATCATATCATCTGCAAATAGTGATAATTTGACTTCTTCTTTTCCAATCTGTATCCCCTTGATCTCCTTCAACTGTCTTATTGCTCTAGCAAGGACTTCCAGCACTATGTTGAAGAGATATGGGGAGAGTGGGAAGCTTGTCTTGTCCCTGATTTTAGTGGGATTGCTTTAAGTTTCTCTCCGTTTAGTTTGATGTTGGCTATAGGCTTGCTATATATCGCTTTTACTATGTTTATATATGTGCCTTGTATCCCTGATCTCTCCAATACTTTAAACATGAATGGATGTTGGATTTTGTCAAATGCTTTTTCAGTATCTAGGGAGATTATCATGTGGTTTTTTTCTTTCAGTTTGTTAATATGGTGGATCACATTGATGGATTTCCGTATGTTGAACCACCCCTGCATACCTGGGATGAAGCCTACTTGGTCATAGTGGATAGTATCTTTGATGTGTTCTTGGATTCGGTTTGCAAGTATTTTGTTAAGTATTTTTGCATCAATGTTCATAAGGGAGATTGGCCTGAAATTCTCTTTCTTTGTTGAGTCTTTGTGAGGTTTAGGTACCAAGGTGACTGTGGCTTCATAGAATGAGTTTGGTAATGTTCCTTCTGTTTCTATTTTGTGGAATAGTTTGAAGAGAATTGGAGTTAGCTCTTCTTTGAAGGTCTGGTAGAATTCTGCGCTGAAGCCATCTGGTTCTGGGCTTTTTTTTTTTTTTTTGGATGGGAGACTTTTGATGACTTTTATTTCTTTGGGGGATATAGGACTATTTAATTGATTTACCTGGTCCTGATTCAACTATGGTAAGTCAAATCGATCAAGAAAATTGTCCATTTCATTTAGGTTTTCAAATTTTGTTGAGTATAGACTTTTGAAGTAAGTCCTAATGATTGTTTGGATTTCCTCAGTGTCTGTAGTTATGTCCCTCTTTTCATTTCTAATTTTGTTGATTTGGGTGATGTCCCTCTGCCTTTTAGTTAGCTTGGCTAATGGTTTGTCGATCTTGTTGATTTTCTCAAAGAACCAGCTCTTGGTTTCATTGATTCTTTGAACTGTTTTATTTGTTTCTAATTGATTGATTTCAGCCCTGAGTTTGATTATTTCCAGCCTTCTACTCCTTTTTGGTGTTTCTGCTTCTTCTTTTTCTTCTTTCAGGGTTTTTAAGTGGATCATTAAGTTGCTTGAATGAGCTGTCTCAAATTTCTTCTTGAAGGCACTTAGTGCTATGAACTTTCCTCTTAGCACTACTTTCATTGTGTCCCACAGGTTTGGGTATGTTGTGTCTTCATTTTCATTGAGTTCTAGGAAGACTTTAATTTCTTTCTTTATTTCTTCCCTGACCCAGCTGTCATTTAGTAACAAGTTGTTCAGTTTCCATGTGTGTGTAGGCTTTTTGCTTTTTCTGTTGTTGTTGAAGTCCAGCTTTATTCCATAGTGATCAGACAAGATACAAGGGATTATTTCAATCTTCTTGTATCTGTTGAGGCTTGCTTTGTGACCAACTATATGGTCTATTTTGGAGAAGGTTCCATGAGGTGCTGAGAAGGTAAATTTTTTTGTGTTTGGGTGTAAAGTTCTGTAAATGTCTGTGAGGTCCATTTGATGGAGGTCATGACCTCTGTCAGAGTTATTGTTTCTTTGTTTAATTTCTGGTTTGTGACCTGTCCTTTGTTGAGAGTGGGGTGTTGAAGTCTCCTACTATTAATGTGTGGGGATCTATATGTGGTTTAAATTTTATCAATGTTTCTTTTACAAATGTGGGTGCTCTTGTATTTGGGGCATAGATGTTCAGGATTATGATGTCTTCCTGATGGAATTTTCCCTTGATGAGTATGAAGTGTCCTTCCCCATCTCTTTTCTTCTATGATATTTTTTAAAATGTTTTCTGGTCCTTGGAGCCTGGAGTCTTCTCTTTCATCTATCCCTATTATTAGGATGCCACTTTACATGGCGTCCTTGATATCTTGTATGTTTTGTGTTTGGAACTTTTCTGATTTTTACCTTTTCTTTGAGGGAGGAATCAGTTTCATCCAGTGTATCTTCAGCACCTGAGATTCTCTCTTCCATCTCTTGTATTCTATTGGTGATGCTTACCTTTGTGGTTCCTGATCTTTTCTCTAAGTTCTCCAGTTCCGGGGTTTTCTCTGTTTGTGTTTTCTTTAAAGATTCTAATTCTGTTTTCATGCTTTGCACCATTTCCTTCATCTGAGTGAATGTGGCTCCTATTTTTTGTTTGTTTGTTTGTTTGTTTTTTCTCTATATGTCTCTAATTGTTCCTTACGTGGGCAGTTATAGTCTTCTGTATTTCTTTGAGAACTCTGTTCATTTCCTCTTTTTGTTCCTCTAATAACTGCATAAGCATAGCTTGAAAGTAATTTTCCTGTGTTTCCGCTGAATTAAAATATCCATTGAATTTGGGGGTTACTGGTGGGTCCATGGTGTCCTGGTTTTTGTTGGGTGAGTTCTTATGCCTACCTTTGGCCATTTGCTTATATGAGATCTTCACTGTTTTTTCCTTGAGTCTTAACTTCATACTGGAACTGTCTTTCGCTGATCTCTGGGTTATTCTTCAGGACAATCAGGGAGGTCCAGTGGTTTGAGAGTGTGTGTTGCTGCTTACGTTGTTTTACCTAAGGGAGAAAAACCGCTGGCACAGATTCGTTATTGCTGGGGGAGGGGTACGAGTGTGTGTGTGTGTGTGTGTGTGTGTGTGTGTGTGTGTGTGTGTGTGCGCGCGCGCGCGCACGGCCACGCATGCTTGCATCTTCAAAGTGGGTGCTAGAGAGTGTAGGTGGTTGGGATATGGAGGTTGGGAGCAAGCGCAAGAGGGGATGTGGATGCTGGAGCCGTTAGCAAGCGCAGATTGCCGGCACAAAGCACCTGCACAGGTTTCCTGGATACCCAGTGGTCTACAATCTGTGGCAGGCTCTGCAGGCTGGACTCTGAGGTCTGTGGCTGACGCTGCAGGCAGGACAAGTACTCTGTTGTGGGCTCTGTGTACCCAGGCCTGTGCTCTGTGCTAGAAGCTGTGAGCACAGCAAGCTGGGCTCTCCTCTCTGAGTTGGGAAGGGCTATGTGCTTCCTCTGCTGCTTCCCCCTCAGGCAAGGCTGGAGATAGGAGGTCCTGGGGGGAAATGTCGGGGGTTTGAGTGTTCTCAGACTCAAATATCAAGGAGGGAGATGTGCGTGCAGGCAAGCTGTGTGTGCACTGTGGGGTGCCTCCTCTGCTTCAGCTGCTAGTTGCCTTACACTCCTCTGCTGCTTCCCTGTTAGCTGCTGTACCTCCACCTGCCCTCTGCTGCCATCGCTGGCTTGCCCGCCTCCACCGCTGCTTCTGCCTGCCCGTTAGGAGGAAGTGCCCGGGAATCGATTCCCCAGAAGTCCATGCAGATGTCTGTGGTTGGCCTGGGTCCTCTTGGACTCAGATCAGGGTTTGTCCCCCCTCTCCCGGACTCCTCATACAGTTGTTTTGGGTTCTACAGCCCCTCGACTCACCAATTCGGAGTTTCAGTTCCTCTGAATACGGTGCTCGCTGGTCGTCGCCATCTTCGATCCCCCTCCAAATTAAACTTTTGAAGTACCATCTGAGGCTATCATCATGGTATCCTCAAGTATCAGGTATTCATTTTCTCCTTAGAATTTTTTTATTTTTTTAATATTAGTTACAGTTTATTAACTTTGTATCCCATCTGTATCCCGCTCCCTCATTCCCTCCCAATTCCACCATCCCTCCATCATCTCCTCCTGCCCCTTCCCAAGTCCACCGATAAGGAAGGATCTCCTCCCCTTTCATCTGACCCTGGTTTATCAGGTCTCTTCAGGACTGGCTGAATTATCCTCCTCTGTGGCCTAGCAGGTCTGCTCCTCTCTCAGGGGGTGGGGGAGGTAAAAAATAGCCCAAGTCATGGGCCACTTAGCCTAAAATATAATTATTTAAATTAATAACATTTTTATTATAGGATTACTATCTGTATCAAGCAAAGACAATGTCTTGGATTACTGTTTTGGGGATTAGCCAGTATCTTACCCTTACCCACACTGATCCATCCCAACCCATGTATTCAGAGTGCAGACAGCGAAGGGAACTGAGACAGTAGCGCTCCGCACAATAAGGTGATTTTCAGTGTTACCTAAGCGATACAGGCCGTGCCTTCCCTGAGATCACTTTTTAACTTCTACTAACAAGAGATAATGAAAAAAAAAAAAAAAAAAAGACGTGGACACTGGTCATGTAATCAGCGATTAATACAAAAGGCAACTGTCATGCTACTTGGTCACAAGCAAGCAAAGAAAGGAAGGACAGATAATGGCTGGGCTCCACTGTTCAAAGCCAGATGTTCAAAGCCAGATGCTGAAGATGATGGTTGTCAGGGCACCTGATAGTGCAGCATTTATGAATATATACAATGAATCCAGGAACAAGAAGTTGATGGATGGCATTCCAGGAGGACTTGGGTGAAGGAAAATCGCCATCACTGTTGTTCACCTTTTGCTAAGCCATATTCTCCTCTGGCCTGAGAGGTGGAGAAGGGAAAGAGTAGATGGATCATGCAGAGCATATGTGATGGTAAGCACCAAGCTTTGCATAGATTTTCATACTGCATAGCTTCCACCTGTTGCATGAATTCTAACAAGCATGAAGACATCAGGAACAGGTAAGCTGGATTTCAACCAGAAACTTGATTGAAAATGGTTGTTTTCATGCATTGTGTCAACAAAATAGGTCTCCAGAAATCTGGATTTTCATGTTCTAGAAATGCATAAAATAAAAACAAACAACGTAAGAACAACTGATCGGGAATGAACAAAAGAACACAGAAATCTAGAACTTGTAAGCAAACTCTTATAATGTTCCAGCAACTTTATTTCTAACTTGAAATCCTGAAAGGGGGGGCCAGGATAGGTGCCTCCTTGGTCATAACTGCAGCAAGGCAGACGCTCTTTCCAGAGCTGTGGGCACCTGTGCTTGGGCTCCACTATTCCAAAAAGCCTGATGCTGATGTAGTCCATGGCAGCTCAGTCACCAAGTGGATTCTGTAGTAAGGGAAACAGGGACTGTCTCTGGCATGAACTCATAGTCTGGCTCTTTGATCACCTCCCCCTGAGAGGGGAGCAGCCTTACCAGGCCACAGAGGAAGACAATGCAACCAGTCCTGATGAAACCTGATAGGCTAGGGTCAGAGGGAAGGGGAAGAGGACCTCCCCTATCAGTGGACTAGGGGAGGAGCAAGGGAGGAGAAGAGGGAGGGAGGGTAGGATTGGGATACAAAGTGAATAAATTGTAATAAATAAAAAAATAAAAAACCTAATGCTAAAGAAGGGCTGAGGGAACAGCCATGGTGGGGCCACATAGCATACTTTCTCAATCTACTGTGAACTCTAACTTAGGACAATGTTTGTTTGTTTGTTTGTTTGTTTGTTTGTTTGTTTGTTTTTCTACTGAGTCTTAACATATCAGTTTTTTACTCCTACCTGAGATAATTTCTCCTCTGGAAAAATCCAAATCCTATGATGAGCAGTACAATCCCCAAAGGCCACATTTTACATAAGGAATGGTCAACAAGGAATGCAGGGAGATGGGAGTACCTTTAAATACAGGCAAGGGTAGAAAGTCAAGTCAGTTTGATAACAGTTCTAAGGAAGAAATTAGAGGCAAACAGTTTTAAAATCATTAAAAATAGTCCTACAGTTTTAGGTAATTTTTAAAAAATCAGAAAATCTTATCAATTGTAATTCAAATACAACTCATATTATTTCAAGATCAAGCCTAGCTTCTGTGCTTGGTAGGCATCAGCAAATATTTTAAAATAAATAAATGCACATTAAGTATTATTACTACTTCCCAGTTATATAAGGGGAAAATTCTCATGCAAATTTTATTTTTATGAAAATACAATTGCATCACTTCCATCCATTTCCCCTTCTTTTCTCTCAACTCCCCCAGGTGCCTCCACCTCCCAATGCTGCCTCTCATATTTCTCGCCTCTTCTTTTTAAATTGTTACTGTTACAGAATTACACAGAATATTTAAATACTCTTTATTGCTGCTGTGGGTCATAAGCTTCAGAGCTTGGTGGTAGTACCGGTTGCCTTTTGGGCAGCTTGCACAGCACCTTTGATTCCTATGAAGTTAGTCCTCGGAGAGGATGTTTTTGGGTAAAATCTAGGTCTGCTGAATCCATTCAGTTCTTCTGCACGTCCATGATTCCAGGATGCTACTCTGATGCTGGATAACAAATTAGGGGTCCATTCCTGAAGGATAATTACTTCTCCCACTCTCAGCACCCCTTAGTTAACTATATTTCTTTGTCTAGGGCCTGAGGCCACATGAGATTCCCCCTTCCGTGTTCTTTATTCCGGTCTTGGTTACACAGCCATATTATTGAGGTTTCGTGGGTGAAGCATCCCGTTTCTTGGGGACACAATCTTACAGCAGATGTCCTGGTTCTCTGGCTCTTGTAATGTTTCTGCCTCCTCTTCTACAAAGCTCCCTGAGCATTACTTATAGGAATTGTGTTCTGGATGTATTCATGTGCTAAACATCTCATGATCAGTGTTCTGTTCATTTTGATCATTTGTGCCTTTTTGTGTTGGTTTCTATTGCAAAGAGAAGCTTCTTTGGTAAGGGTTAAGAGCCACACTTACTGGTGGCATGAGTGTTTAGAATTTAGATAGGCATCATACTTGTTTATTGAAGGGCTGTGGTAGGTTCCCCTTTAATATCAATGACCTCACTCATATTGAGTTGTTAGCTCGATTTTCAGTACCAGCCATGAATTTTCTATTCTTGAGGGGCATTAAATATAACTGGACAGCTATTGGTTGCTGCCAAGATAGGTCACTAATACATCTTAGGTACCAGCTTTGCTGGTTGTTGCTGTGGTTCATGCACTTCACAGCTAAGTGGTACTAACAGTTTCCTCTCCTCTGGGGCACCTTGCACAGCACCTTTGGTTACTATGGAAATGTGGTTACTCTAAGAGGAGGTTTTGGGGTAAAATCCAGCTTAGATCATCCTGAGTGAGGTAACTGAGAAACAGAAAGCCAGGCATGGTATACACTAATAAGCAGATATTAGCCATATAACATAGGATAGCCATCTACAGCTCTAAAGAAGCTAAACTCTAAAGAGGACCCTAGAGAGGATGCTTAAATCTCATTCAGAATGGCAAACAGGATAGACACCAGAAGCAGTGACCTGATAGACCCTAGCCTATCAGGTCTCATCAGGACTGGCTGCATTATCTTCCTCTGTGGCCTGGTAAGGCTGCTCCCACCTCAGGGAAAGGTGATCAAAGAGCAGGCCAATCAGTTCATGTCAGAGACAGTCCCTGTTCCCATTACTAGGGAACCCACTTGGATACTGAGCTGCCATGGGCTACATCTGAGCAGAGGTTCTAGGGTATCTCCATGCATAGTCCTTGGTTGAAGTATCAGTCTCACAAAAGATCCCTGGTCCCAGATTTCTTGCTCTGTTGCTCTCCTTGTGGAGCTCCTGTCCCTTCCAGGTCTTTCTATCTCCCTCTTCTTTCATAAGATTCCCTGAATTCTACCCAAAATTTGGCTATGAGCCTTAGCATCTGCTTTGATACCCTGCTGGGTACAGTCTTTCAGAGGCCCTCTGTGGTAGGCTCCTGTCTTGTTCCCTGTTTTCTCCCTCTTCCAATGTCTCTCCTGTTTGCCTTTCTGAATGAAGATTGATCATCTTACCCAGGGTCCTCCTTTTTGTTTAGCTTCTTTAGGTATACAGATTTTAGTATGTTTATCCCATATTATATGTCTAATATCCACTTATAAGTGAATATATACCATGTGTGTCTTTCTGCTTCTGGGATACCTCACTCAGGATGATCTTTTCTGGTTCCCACCATTTGCCTGCAAATTTCAAGATTTCTTTGTTTTTAATTGCTGAGTAGTATTCCAATGTATACATATACCACGATTTCTGTATCCATTCCTCAGTTGAAGAGCATCTGGGTTGTTTCTAGCTTCTGGCTACTACAAATAAAGCTGCTACAAACATGGCTGAACAAATGTCCTTGTTGTATATTTGAGAACATTTTGGATATATGCCTAGGAGTGGTATAGCTGGATCTTGAGGAAGCGCTATTCCTAATTGTCTGAGAAAGAGCCAGATTGATTTCCAGAGTGGTTGTACAAGTTTACATTCCCACCAGCAGTGGAGGAAGGTTCCCCTTTCTCCACATCCTCTCCAGCATGTGTTGTCACTTGAGTTTTTTATCTTGGCCATTCTGACTGGTGTTGAGAGTTGTTTAGATTTGCATTTCCCTAATGACTAAGGATGTTGACCATTTTTTTAAGTGTTTCTCTGCCATTTGATATTCCTCTATTGAGAAATCTCTGTTTAGCTCTGTACCCCATTTTTTAATTGGATTACTTGGTTTGTTGGTGTTTAACTTCTTAAGTTCTTTATATATTCTGGATATTAGCCCTCTATCAGATATAGGATTGGTAGAGATCTTTTCCCAGTCTGTAGGCTATCATTTTGTCTTGATGACTGTGTCTTTTGCTTTACAGAAGCTGTT